AGAAAGAAAGAAAGAAAGAAAGAAAGAAAGAAAGAAAGAAAGAGAAGGAAACACACAGCCTTCTGTTGCCAGCCCTGGAGACACAGCATGACCTTCCAAGTGCTTTTGCCTCTTCCAGCTCCAGCAAAGATGGCTCCACTCAAGGAGTGGGTCACAGGGTTCCATCCCGGGTCCAGTACTCTTCAACATTTTTAGGCATGATTTTACGCATGAGGAAGTGCAAGAAAAGATAATTATGCATGAGGAAGTGCAAGAAAAGATAATTAAATTTGCAGATGACACAAAGCAAATACCCTGGAAGACTGAGATAAGATTCAGGGTGAGCTTGATAGGTTAGAAAGCTGAGCAGGGAACAAAAGAATGAAATCCAATACGGACAAATGCTAAGTTCTCCACTTAGGAACACGGGGAACTGCTACAAAAAGGGGAACACTTGGTTCAATAATACCGCAAACATTATTGTGGGGTTGTTGTGATGTAGCTACAAAAAAGGCAGGTGCTATTTAGGGCCACATTAACAGAAGTATCACATTCAAAACACATGAAGCACTGGTTCCCCTCTACTGAGCACTTGTCAGAGCTCACCTGGAGTACTGGGTCCAGTTCTGGGCACCTAAGTTTTAAAAACATAGAAACAGAGTGAGTCAGAAGGGGCCTTCAGGGCCATCTAGTCTGACCCCCAGCTCCAGCCGGCTCCGCTCACGACATGCCCACCATGTGCATGTCCAGCCTATCCTTGAACACCCGCACCGATGGGGCCTCAACCACCTCCTGTGGAAGCCCATTCCACATCCTCGGGGTGAACCTCACTCTCATAATCACCCTCAGCCTCTCCATTACCCTCACCCTCATCCTGACCATGACCCTGACCCTCATCCTGACCTGGGCCTGAACCTGAACTTGACCCTCACCCTCACAATGAGCATGACCCTCACCCTGACCCTTTCCTCAGCCTCACAATGATCCTCACCCTCACCCTGACCTTGAACCTAAACCTCACTCTCACCCTCTCCCTCACACTGACCCTAACACTAATCATGACCCTGACCCTGACCCTCACCCTCACCCTCAGCGTGACCTTGAACCTGAAACTGACCCTCATCTTCACCCTGGCACTAATCCTGATCCTGACCCTGACCTTGAACATGAACCTCACCCTCAGCCTGAAAAAGATGCAGAAAAGCTGGAAAATGTACAGAGGAGGGCAGCAGGAATGATCCAAGGGACTGCAGGCCAAGCCCTAGGAGGAAAGGTTTCTGAAGCTCGGCCTCAGAAAGAGAAGACTGAGAAGAGATAAGAGTGTTTTTTTGTTTAGTCACAAAGTCATGCCCAACCCATCATGACCGCATGGACAACATTCCTCCAGGCTCTCCTGGGCAGCGGATGTGGGCTTGGGTGGGCTCTGGGGGATGGTGGAGGGCAGGAAGGCCCGGAGGAGTGTTGTCCATGGGGTCCCGATGGGTCGGGTGCGACTTCGCGACTAGCAACAGCAGCCTATAAGAGGCCATGCCCAATCTTGGCTTTCTGTCAGCTCTGCTTTGCGGGAGGAGCCTCGCTGGGGACCGATCTCGCAGGCAAAATAATCGAGTCAGATCTCATCAGGGTGTTGCTTCCCCTTTTCCCCTCACAACTGAGACCCTCTGGGGAAAAGACCAAGGGTGTTTTTGCAACAGTGACGAGGCTTCTAACGTCTCTTGTCCTCCAAAGTCTTTCTCCAGGGCACCTCGCCAGCCCTGTAAATTGCTGACGAGGAGGCTGCAATCATGCAATCCCTCGAGTTCCTCTCCATGCGAGCCTTTTGAGGGCTTCACCTTCACAGCAGGGGCTGTCCAGGCGGATTCCCAAAGGGATTTCTGGAAGCCCCCCTTTGGCCACGGCGGCGGCGGCGGCGGCGGCAGAAGGCCTCCGCCTTGATCCACCTGCTTGGAAGCCAAAGAAGCGCCATCCTCAACCCCCGCAGCCCCCGCAGCCCCATCCCGCCTTGCCCAGGATCGGGGAGACCTTCCCGGGCCAGGACGTTTCCGGCCGCCCCCTCCAGCTCCGGGGCGCCAAGCAGCGCAGCCATCCCCCGCGCGCGATCCTGCCCTGGAGACCCGCGCAGGGGGAGGCAACTGCATGGCGAGCTCGCCGGCAGGAGGAGGACGCCTTTTCCCACTGCGGAAAAACCGCAGCCTGCTCCGCCCCGAGAAGGGCTCCCACGAGTGGGATCGTGCGCAGGAAAGCCCGCGGCTTGGCACCCGAGGAGTCAGGATCCGGCCCCACGAGCGGTTCCAATCGCAAGCTGAGGCTGGGGGGGGCGGTCTCCCCTCTTTCTCCTGAAGCCCCCCATGCTCGGCCTCCTGCCCCGCCTTCCCCACTCACCTCCCGATTCCACCTTCCCGGCGCGCCACGGATCCGCGCAAGCGGGCCGCCCGGCACCGCCGTCCCGCCTCTCCACGAAGCGCCGCGCTCCTCGCTGGACCCTCCGGGACGCAAAGACTGACGCGAGCGCGCAACGGCCCGTCCACACTGGAACTGCCCCTCGGGGGGAGCGGAAAAGCCGGATGGCCGGACCGCGCCGGGAGCCCGCCGCTTCCGTCGGTTTGGCGCAGTCGAAGCCCTCCCGCCTCCCGCAGCTGCGCCGCGAGAGCCGCGCGCACCGGGGGGCGCAGACGGGGGTCCGCACGAGTTTTGCGTGCCCCACCGCGAACCTTGGTGGATCGGGGAGCACGTGGGCCCGCGATCTGTATCAGTTATGGGTGATCATTTCTATTGTCCTTGCATTTTTTTATTTGTTATCCTGACTCGCGGGCAGTCCCATGCCAGGCGTGCGCCCAGGGATCCTCGGAGAATTGCGGGCATCCTGTCGAGGGTGGGAGGGATGCGCGCGGCTCGCCGGCTGCCAGCTGCGCTCCCCTGATCCGGCTTGCAGCCTCCGGGTTTTCCTCTCCGTGTGGGGGGCAGGAAAGGCCGAGGGGCCTCCTGGAGGCGGCTGAAACCGCCGCTCCCTTTCGCTGGACCTGGAGATGGCTCTCCATCTCCGAAACTGCGCCGACTGGCGATTCTGCTGCGGGGGCGGGGGTCCCTGCTGCCACCTTTAGGGGATTTCTGCGGACCCCCCCCCCCACAAAAGTGAAATGCCTGCTGAAATGTAGATTGACCTAGAGAAAGCACTGTGCAGGATGAGGCCTGGCAGGCATGACCTGCACAGAATCCACAGCATTTGCAAGGGTGCCTGGCCGGGCAGCACTTCTGGGCACCCCAGCGCAGGCCTCCTCTGGCGCCAGGAGCTCCAGAGCCCTTCCCTGGACCTTCCTCTGCTGAGGCTTGGCCGCCGCTGTGGGGAGCATCCCAGGCTGGAGAGTCTCTGGGCCGGCTCAGAACCGCTCCGCTCTGCTTGCCGTGATTCCTCAGGCAGGCCAGCCCTTTGGCCTCCAGAAGGCCCCGTGGGATGGCCGGCCGGCCAGCCAGCCAGCGAAGGCGTTGCTGCCAATGTTTCTGTGGTGCTTTTCAGCGCTTACATCCATATATGCCTGACCGCCCCTTGAGATCTGCGGGAGAGGCCCTTCTCCGGGAACCCTCCATGAAAGAAATTCGGAGGGTTGGTACTCGGAGGAGGGCCTTCTCTGTGGTGGCGCCCAATCTATGGAATGCACTCCCCAGAGAGGTCCGCCTGGCGCCGTCGTTATTTGTTTTTCGGCGCCAGGTGAAGACCTTTTTGTTTAAACGTCACTTTAATTGTTAACAATATTTACTTATTTATCTGGCCATTTACTTATTTATCTTCTTTTATATTTTTTATTTATTTTATATTGTTAATTTTAATTTTATATTGTTATTTTTGTATTTTATTGTATTTTATTGTGTTTGTAAGCCGCCCCGAGGCTTCGGCAAGGGGCGGCATAGAAATGTTATAATAATAATAATAATAATTTTCACATTTAATCGATGCAATTACATCTTTTACATCTGCATACTTTCGAAGGGTTTAGGTCAAAAGTAAATGTCATAAATGCTTGATTCAAAAGTAAAATTCAATGCTTTAATGTGAATGTCGATGAATCGGCCACCCAGAGTCCCGATTACTGGAAACAAGTCGGCTAGGAATAAATTTAATGCTAATAATATTACCTTCTTGGATGTCAGGTTGATGTCAGGTTGTTCTTTTGGAGCTTCTTCTCTGGAGAATGGAGGAGGGCTACTCTATTATTATTATTATTATTATTATTATTATTATTATTATTATTAGAACATTTCTATGCCGCCCCTTGCCGAAGCCTCGAGGCGGCTTACAACACAATAAAATACAATACAAAAATAACAATATAAAATTAAAATTAATAATATAAATGAAAAATATAAACGATAGAAAAGAAGTTATAAAAGAAAAGAACTGTCTGGAGCAATCACCTTCATTCATTCATTCATTCATTTATATCCTGCTTTTTTCTAACAATGAAGTCCAAGCGGCTTCCGTCATTTAGAGCCTGCTGCTCTCCATCTCATTCCCACAACAACAGCCCTGTGGGGTAGTTTGGGTTGAGAGCCTGTCACTGCCCCAAAGTCGCCAAGCGGGGACTCGAACTCCGGCCGCCCGAGTCGCAGTCCCGTGCTCTTAACCACTGCGCCACGCTGGCTCTTGTGTCAGCTCCCATCGCGTCTCAAGGAGGAAGATGAGATGAATGAACTGGTGATGCGGCTGCCGCTTCTCGTATCTCTGCAACTGGTAGAGAAACAGAGCTGGGCTCCACTTAGGGCCACAAGGTCGGTGGCCGGTTTGCAGGGGATGCCGTATGAGGCGAGACTGAGGGAACTGGGCCTCTTCAGCCTGGAGAAGACTCAGAGGGGATCTGTTGGGGACATGCAGGTATGTGAGGGGGTGTCACATGGAGGTGGGCAGAGACCTGTTCTCCCCTGCAGAGGAAGGCAGGATGTGCTCCAACAGAGCAAAGCTCAGGGAACCCAGGTTCAAGGTAGATGCCAGGAAGCACTTCCTGACAGTCAGGACCCCGAGGGTGTGGAATGGGCTCCCACAGGAGGTGGTTGGGGCTCCATTGGTGAGGGTGTTCAAGGATAGGCTGGACGTGCACATGGTGGGCATGTCCTGAGCAGAGCCGGCTGGAGCTGGGGGTCAGACTAGATAGCCCGGGAGGCCCCTTCTGACTCACTGTTTCTCTATTTCCCATCTGACTGCATCTGCTCTTCTGGATGTCAGGAAGGGTCTCCTTGTGCTCCGGCAATGGGCCTGACCTATGAGCTCTTTGCAGGATACGGAAGGACATTGCTGGCAGGGAGCAGTAACGCCTCCCATGTTGGAAGAGGAGCAGATAGACCGACTTTTCATAAAATCATGGAATAGTCGAGCTGGAAGGGGCCAAGAAGTTCATGCAGGACTCCAAGTTAAACCAACCCTCTCAGATGAGTGTCCGGTTTCCTCATGGATGTCTCTAGTGTGGGAGAGCCCACCATCTTTCTAGGAAACTGTTTCCACTGTTGCATGGCTCTGAGAGGGAGGAAACTTTTCTTGATATCTTGTCTAAACCTGGGTTGATGCAACGTGACTTGATTATTCTGTGTCCTACCTCTGGTATCAGCAAAAGAGAGAGAGAGAGAGAGAGAGAGAGAGAGAGAGAGAGAGAGAGAGAGAGAGAGAGAGATCCCGTCCTATACATGTATCATCTCAGGGCAGCTTACAAGAACCAAAACAATCAATCAGCAAAACAGCAATTAACAATTAGCGATGTGTATGATGCCAACAGAAACGTATTATCAACAAGAACAAAGTCAAAACCCAAAACAAAAACGTGACTGTTCCACTCTTTCCCTGCAATGTCACAATTTACTCAACCAGCTAGCGCAGCCTTCCTGAGTGGACGCCTCATCATCACCTATTGGTATTTTGTAACTCGGAGCCTCGGTCGCAGATCGGCAGCTGTGACACGCATTTTGGGCGACGGGGCCACCGCAGAGGGATTCAAGAGCCACGTACGGCTCCGGAGCCGCGGGTTGCCAACCCCTGGTGTAGCTGGAAGTACCTGGGCTTGCAATCATGTGGGGACTCCTTATGCGTGAGGCAGGGAGGAAGAGAAAGGATTTGGGAGATGCTGGAGGGATCCAGGAAAAAGGTGTGCTTTTTCACATGCTTGCAGTGAGAAGGAAGAGAGACGGGTGTATGTGTGTATCTGCATGGGGAATCTGTGGGCACAGGTGTCCATGTGTGGGTTGCAGAGAAAGAGGGCAGATGCTTGGCCTGGGATCGAGAGAGAGAGGAATTATTTGGGCAAATGGTGCAGGCAGAGGAAAAGGGTTTGCTCTTGTTCAAAGATAGGCTGGACATGCACATGGTGGGCATGTTGTGAGCGGAGCCGGCTGGAGCCGGGGATCAGGGGTCAGACTAGATGGCCCGGGAGACCCCTTCTGACTTGCTCTGTTTCTATGTTTGTTGTGTTCTCTTTGCTGCTCTTTGTTTCCTTCCATTCCTGCAGACCTAAACAGATTCCATAGAGGGGAAGAGTCCACTGCTAAACACATCAAAAGCTACAAACAATATATTAAAATTGGATAACAATAAAACGGGCTGTCCAGCAAAAGGCTTCCCAGGACAAAGGCGCCTTCCCCATCTCCAATATGTGCCTTTCCAGCTAATAAAGCCAAGGGAATCAATAACCGAGATGAAGCCTGAATGAGGGGAACCTAGACGTCCCTGTTACCACCATATTTCAGAAACTCAGCTGATATTTGACCGAATCCGGGTGCTTTATTCTTCTTCAATATACATAGAGCGAGTCAGAAGGGGTCTCCCGGGCCATCTAGTCTGACCCCCGGCTCCGCTCACGACATGCCCACCATGTGCACGTCTAGCCTATCCTATACATATAGCTTCCTCCACTTCATCTTGAGTAAATCATCCCATATGGACATCCCTGTCAGCGGGAGGTGGACTGCTGAAGTTACCGGTATTGCCGAGCGGGGCTGATTTGACGTCGCTTTAAACTATTCGGCCCAACGCGCGTCCCGTCCTCCTTGTTCAAGGCGTATTTTCCCACGTTTGTCTCTCGCATTTGCTTTCATTGGATAACCGGTCAAATGTCGGGCTCTATGGAATAGCGATTTAGCATCATTCTTTAAGGCTGCTTCTTGACCTTCCCTTCCTTTTTGCTCTAACCAGTTTTTCTTATCTTCCCCGGAGCTACACTTCACCTTCCTATCTAATTCATGGCACTTTGCTTATGCTCCCGCCGCCTCCCGCGGCGCCTGTGTTTGACCGCTGCGGCCCTTGGCCGCCTTCCTTTCATCGATCGGCTTCCAGGTTCTGGCTTGCATCCCTGCCTTTGAGGCTTCACCTCGCAAGCGGGGCTCCTCAGCGGCGCAGGGAGCCGCGGCGCCCCCCCCCCCCCCGGGGCCCCCGGACGGGGCCGGGGGGGGGGGGGCACAAAACTTCCGCGGATCCGCGTTTGGCCCCGCGGCGCGCAGCGGCGACGGCGGCCCTGGTTCGGGCTGGCTTCGCGGCGGCAGCTGCGCCCGGCGCAGCGAGGGCAACCGGGGAGGGAAGATCAGAAGAAGGCGGCGGGATCCAGCTGCGATCCCGCGATCCTGCTTTTGCTCCCTCCCAGGAAGGCCGTCCCGAGGTGGGCGGGCTGCAGAGAGGTCGCTTCCGCCGCTCCGCCCCGGAGGGTTCAGCAAGGAGTGCTGCGCTTCCAGGAGAGGCAGGAAACCGGCGAGGGGCATCCCGGGAGCGAGATCGGCCTGGTGGGCTCCCCCGGTGCGGCGGGAAGGCGACCCCGGGAGGTGAGAGCGGGAAGGGACGGCCAGGGGTCCGGGAGCGGGAGGAGGCCGAGACTCGGCGGGGAGTTGGGGGGCGAGAGGGGAGGGCCCCCAGCCTTCTTTGGCACGGAGGGGACGCTCGCGGGACCTGATCCCGGCTCCTCGGGTGCAACGCGCGCGGGCGCTCCTTTGCGCGCCCCCCGCCCCGCACTCCGCTTGGAAACCCTCGTCGGAGCGGAACCAGCCTCGGGATATCGACCGTCTCTCCCCTAATACTGCAAGCGAGCGCGCCGTGGACTTGTCTCCCCCGCTGGACTTTGCCACCGGCAGGACCGCTTTGCGCCTCCCTGCGCGCGTCTCTGGGGCGGGATCGCGGCGGCGGGTCCTGTGCGCGCCGAGTGCGGGATCGCGGCGCTGCTTCGTGCCGCGGAGCTGGCGGGGGGCGCGGCCGGAAGCGTCCAGCCTGGAAGGAGCCGCGTCGGGTTCCCTCCTGCGGGGCGAGGCGGGGCGGGCTGGGGCTTGCGGGGAGCATCGGGGGGGGGGGGCGCTTCTCGGCCTTCCAAACAGGGGACCGAGGCGGAGGCCAGCCGCTGCCGCCTGTCCCGACAAAGGTTTTCTCCAGAAATCCCCCTGGGAATTCGCCTGGAGAGGCGTTGCTCTGGCGATGAGGGCAGAACAGGCGCGCGGGTGGCTCTCGCTTCTTTCGCAATCCTGGGGGCTCAGGATCCTGCGTTTCCTTCTCCTACGGGCCGGCCTGGCCCTGTCCACCCTCGCCCCCTGAGCAACCTTCTCAACAGCCCTGTGAGGTGGACCGGTATGAAATGCTGCCTGGTGTGGCCAGGGCCTGGCTCCAAGTGGGGTAGCTTCCTGGCTTCCTCCCTCCCCAGACCAGCCCACCTCACTGAGCGGTTGTGAAGATCCGGCAGGGGGGTGTCAGTGTGTGTCGCTCTGGACTCCTTCCAGGAGGAGGATCTGGTGGCCACAACCTTTGGGGTCTGCAAGGTGCCCCGCTTGCCGCCTTTCTTGCCCTCACAGGCAGCTGAAGTGGGACCCACGATCCGGACCGCTCCTCTTGGTGCCGGCGTGGAAAGAGCTGCTGTGCAGCCGGATCAGACCATGGAGGTTCGGGGACAGGCCTTGGGGATGGAGCCCCGGCTGGGTGGGGGGAAGCAGGAGGTCTGAAAGAACACCCCCCCACACACACTTTTCTTGTGCTGCTACCAGATTTCAAAACACCCAAATAGGAAGGCTGTGCATTTTGCTGTTTCCTGCACCTGCGGTCCTGCAGAACACCCCCTCCCAGAGCAACCCACCTCTGTCCTGCTTCACTAAGCAGGAAGTGGCCATGACTGCCCTGCGCATCTGTCCAGAATTGGCGGAAGCAGACTGCTTACATGTGTGTTGGGTGCTTCCTTCCTCCTGGCTCTGGCAGGGTCCCTTGGTGATTTTTGCTCTGCTTGATGAGGGATGTTTCCACATATATGTTTGTAAATTCCCCCTACCCCTGCCGTTCCTAAGTTTATGTTTTGTTTTCCTGAAGAATTCTGAAGGCTGTCGCAACTAGGCCTGGACAAGGAGATTAGAAGTGTTTGCTTGTGGAGTTTGTGGTGTTTGTGTTACATAGGAAGTGTTTGCTCCCAACAGGAAAGTCCTTACTCTGCTGCAATAAGAATTTTTTTCCAATGACTAGAATCACGTGGCTTCTTGCTTACTTCATAACTAGGATTGTGTGACATCCCGTTTACTTTGTGCTTGGGAAAACCTACCGTGTGCCGTTTATTTTGTACGCTGTTTCAGCTTCAGGCTAACACTCAAACAGGCCTTCAAAACCCACTTTTCTTCTGGGCACGTCTTCCCACCATCTTCAGTTGCTAAGGCCTTGGCTGCTTTCTGTGCGTCTTCTGCGAGGGCTCAGTCTTTTTCATGCAGCTGAGATGGAGCCAGCTCTTTGAATTCCCCAGTTTTTCTGGTGTGAGGTGGTGAGCAGCACCCGGAGGGACCTTTCCAGCATGAACCTGGAAGCTCTTGCTTCCAAGCCTTTACTAGCCCCCGGTTCCCACGCACCATTCAGAGGCAAGGGTTGGTTCTCTGCAATGTTCCCCTGGAGCTGGGAAATGTGAGATTGCAAGACAATCTATTTCCCACCACAATGAGGGACACAGTTCCTGGGAAGGGGGGACATAGCAGGACCAAAGGCGATCCAGAGGAGTTCTTAGCATAGCCTTGATTTGTCCTAGTGCTAAAGGACAAACTTCAGCCTTTACATTGTCCTAGCACAAGTCTCTTTAGCCCAGTCTTCAAGGTTCTGTTTTGTTGTAAAGACGAGACCTTTGCTGAACTTGGGTCTTCCAATCAGGTTTCACAAGAGCTTCTTGTCTACAGCGATGGCACTTGTCCACGCACACAAGTACGAAAGTACTCCAACTCACCTTGAATATATGAGACCCTTAACCAACACGTGTTTCAGACAGACAACCAGTACTTGGACATTTGGATGAAGTGAAATAGCACTAGCCGGACCTCACCTGGAGTGATGTGTCTAGTTCTGGGCACCTAAGTTCAAAAGAGATGCAGAAAAGCCAGGAAGGGTCCAGAGGAGGGCAACAAGGAAGATTCGGGTACTGCAGGCAAAGCGCTCTGAGGAAAGATTGAGAGAAGTGGGACAGAGAGAGGAGAGATAGGATAACACCCTACAAGTACCTGAAAGTACCTGTCACAAAGAGGAAGGGCAGAATCTCTTCTCATCTGTTCATCGCTTTATTCTTTTCGAAGCCAGGCCGAAACCTTTTTATTTTCCCAGTGTTTCAAGTCCTGACTGTTTTAACTGGGGTTTTATTGTTAGTTTATTTTTTTAGGACACTATATTGTATTATTACGTTTTGTTTTGTATTGTTAAACCGTCCCGAGACTTCAGTAATGGGACAGTCTAGAAAAGTTTTAAATAAATAAATATTCCAGAGTTCAGGACATGGAATAATGGAGTTAAGTTGAAAGAAAGCAGAAACTAGACAGCAGGAAGAATGTCCTCACGGTCAGGGCAGTACGACGGTGGAACCTGTTGCGGGGGAAGTCGTGGGCTCTCCCTTGTTGGAGACGTTAAAAAAGCGTCTGGACAGCCGTCTGAGGGGGGTTGGGGTGAACTGGTGTCCTGCCACAGTGGGGGGTTGGACCCAGGGCCATCTCAGCGTGTGGGCCTGATGGGCACTTGCCCGTGGGCCCCATACTAATCTGTGTATGTTAACCCTTCAATGCACCTTGTATCATATATGATAATACCAATCAGGCGTATAGTTACTTCACTAATTGCTCATTTAAGTTCTTTTCTGCTTTGTATCGACCACTGACATTTTTATTCCTGTGAGTCGTTGTCATGGGGGCCCCAATACACTGCTTTGCCCGGGGCCCGTAGTGCTGTTAAGACGACCCTGGTTGGACCCGAGGGCCTTCTGGTCCCTTCCAGCTCTGCTATTATAGGATTCCATGAAATCTTATGTTCACGAAGAAAATTCCAGGAAAAGGTGCTTTGTTTATCCCTCAGACTGTTGGGGGGCTGGACTATAGTTTGAAAAATTAAAATTGAAATATTTTTTAAAAAATTAAAATGAATTTAAAAATAATTAAAATGAATGAGCATAAATTAGCATGGTGGGCTGGATCCCGCTCGCGGGCCATAGTTTGAGGACCCATGTTCTACATCTTTACCAAGTAAACCACATGTTTAATCATTGTTACATAAGCCTGATAACTTAAGGCAATGGATAATGCATTTACACAAAGACTCCGAACTTCACACTGAGCAGCAGATCTTTCTTTTTTCGTATCTCATTGTTCAGAACATGGGTTTAAACCTTGCTCGAGCACAAAATGAGAAAAGTGAGAAAAAGCTTTCTTAGCCTTTCTTGGGTGCTGATACAAATAGGATGCGTGTTCTATAACATTGCTGCTTCCAGGCATGTTTTGGAAGGCTTGCCTGCCTTAAAATATCCCCCTCGCCTCTTATCCGGACTGCTGAACGGCCTTTCTGTGTAAAGTAATCCTCTCTCTACATGCAGGTTCTCCAGGAAGCAGTGTCTGTATTGTTTCAACACTTCCTCTAAAGGCTTCTGCTTTAATCTTTTGCACAAACTTATTTCATTTGAGTGCTAGTCTAGGTCCACCTGTGCCTCAGGAGAATTCTCTTGTGCCGTGGCTGAAAGCAGAGCCAATCCAACTCCCAAGGGCACTTTGCATATGCTCAGGAGCCATGTGAATGCTCTTTCTGCCATTCTCACAAGTAGTGGTTTTTTAAAAGCATATTTTTGTTCCTTGCAGAATTCCGGTTCTTCCAGTTCTCAAACTATGGCCCGCCATGCTCATCTGTCTGTCCCACCTCAGAGCTTTTGGGCTCACCTGGAGAAAAGGATCTCCAAGCGAGTCCAAATCTCTGAGCTGGCACAGGTGTACTCAGTGGGGAGATGGCCATCATCAGCTGCCTTCCCCGCATGAGCGTGATCGTGTCCCCCCCACCCCCGAGCATGATCGCGGACATTGCAGCTCTGTCCCTTGAATATGGGCATGCTCTTCCCCACCTCATCTTGGGCTTCTGCTGCAGCCCGAGCAAGTGGAGCAAACGTTTTTAAATTATTTTTTTAAATTTTTAATTTATTTTTATTTAAATTATTTTTATTTTAATTAATTTTTATTTTTATTTTTATTACTTTTTAATTTATTTTTATTTTAATTCTGGTTTATTTTTATTTTAATTAATTCTGATTTATTTTAATTAATTTTTAATGTGCAGTGTGTATAGAAATTTGTTCATATTTTTTTCAAACTATAGTCCGGCCCCACAACAGTCTGAGGGACAGTGAACCTTTTAGTTTGAGGACCCCCTGGATTAGACCATGCAAAGTAAACTACAGTTTAGGTCTTGTTGATGCCTGTAAGAAAACATTATTGGGAAAAGCATGAAATGGAAATCCGTGTCATATAAAAAGTTTTAATGGGCAATTAGTTCTTCTGCAACTTCTGTCACTCCAAACTAATGAAATGCAGTGCCTGAAGCTTTCCACTATGTGTTTCCGTCCAGCCCATTAGAAAAGCCCTTTAAAATCCTCTTATATGCAAACCTGTTTCCTTGCCAAATGAAAAAAAGATGTTGTTGGACTTCCTGGGAGCTAGGGGAAGTCACCCGTCCATTACTTTGGAAGTTCAGTGTGCCAGAGGAACTGTGGGTATTATTATGACAAACTAGCACGTGACATAAAGAGCGAGGGGATGGGGAAAGGGCTTTGGGAGAGACGGGGGTCCCGTGACTTTTGTCTGCTCGTCATATGGGGGTGTGCAGGGGGCAGTGGCTGAGGAGGGCCCCCCGGGCCAGCTTTGGGCCAGGGGCTGATGGAAGCCAGCAGGAGGGAGGGCCTGGGAGCAGCAACGGAGGGGTGAGGTCTGAGGAGGAGGGGCAGATGGATTTGGGATTTCCTGGAGGAATCCTGAGAATAGCTCTTGCTTTAGATAAATAGCTCTTTTGCTTTAGAGCAGCTCTTTTGCGATAGTTCTGATGCTTTCTTGTGGTTGCAGGAAGGAGCAGGAGGGCAAGAGGCCCACGGATTCATGCGGGCAGGATGGGACGGGGGGCTTGTGTGGCTGAGGGAGGGGGAGCACCGTTCTCCTTGGCAGCAACCCGGGGGGGGGAGTGCCCTTCCCAGCATGCCATGCAGGTGGGAACCCATGTGGGGAGCGCTGGGAGGAAGGCACATGGCCCTTTCCAGGAAAATTGTCTTCTGGGTAGACCTTGGCCTGGCCAGAGATACCAGTGGGGGAGGGACAGAGAAAAAAGGGGGGGGAGGAAGTGGAGGGGGTACAAATTGGGGGGGTCCTGGGGGGAGATGGGTTCAAGAAAAGCGGGGAGAGTGCCCTCGCCATCCTCTCAAGATTGGAAGCTGGGGAGGGCCCAGTGTCCATTCCAGAGTCTTGTTGATTGATCTTTGCTGTTGATTGATCTTTGCTTAACAAATCGATAATGCTGCTTGTTGGGCTCTGAAAATTCCCATCCGGGACCAAGGCACAGTCCGGTCTTGTCCTCTCTAAAGGGAGCTTCTCTAGGAGAGCCTGGATCCTATTTCCTTTGTGATGGTCTTTGTTCTTGCTTTGTTGGTGCGCACACACATTTTTATGCCACAGAATCGGTGTTTTATTAGAGTTGCATAAGATGACTATGTCTCCTGTGCTGTGATCTAAACTTTTGCTGTCGATGCAACACCCTTAAAAAGTTAGTTGCACTTTCTTCATGGAGATGTTTCATTGCCTCGCTGCCTAGCGCTGATCCGTATCACACTGGCTGTGATGTCTTTATGGAAACCTGGACAAACCTAGATAAATGCCATCCTGGAGAAACCTAGGATTCAGCAGGGCATACACAGAGGAAAAGGAAGAATAATGGAGATGTTGAAATAAAAGGTGCCAAATTCCGCTTGAGCTCAGCTGAGTTCCTCAGTTTCAACCTTTCAGTTGTAACAAGATTTTCATTTTCTCTTTCTTCACAACCAGGTGAATGGCAAGAATCTAGACGTTTTATGGATCCCCGTGTCATATCATCAGAAACAAGTTGGTATGAAGTGTGGAAAGAGATACTTGACTATGAAATGGAATAAGAAATATGAATAAAACCATACAAAGGAGAGGGATAATCCTGTAGTTCTCAGGGATTTGGAAAGCACAACACTTAATTACAGAAGATGACAAACGGAAGGAAAGGAGAACGAAATTGGAAAGAAATACAACATTTAGAATCTACAAGGACTGAAGGATTGTACATGATGTTAGAAGAACATCCATATAGACGCAAGGTTTCCTTGACTTCAAAGAACCCACATTGTGGAGAACCCAGATGAATACATGTCAGGTGGAAAGGGCCTCAGACAGAGCAGAAGTCATTGCGAACATCAAGAATCCCACATTCCATATAGATGCATGGAAAGTGGCAAAGCTTACAGTATGTGCACAGACCTTAATACACATCAGAGAATACATGTGGAGGAGAAGCCATTTAAATGCATGCAGTGTGGAAAGAGCTTTATAACAAATGTGATCTTACTGTACATATAAGAACACACACTGGGGAGAGGTCATATAAATGCACAGAATGTGAAAAGGGCACTGGAGCAACTGGAGGTCTTGCTAGACATCAGGGACTGCATCCTGGGGATAGGCCATGTAAAGGCATGGAATGTGGAAAGAGCTTTCGTGAAACTGGTGGTCTTAAAAACATCAAAGAATCCACACTGGGGACAGGCTGTATAAATGCATGGAATGTGGGAAGAACGTCAAAGAGAAGAATCATCTTGGTGTACATGCTTGAACACACACTGGGGAGAGGCCATACGTATGCATGGAGTGTGGAAAGAGCTTCTGTGTGACTGGAGGTCTTACAAAACATCAAAGAATCCACACCGGGGAGAGGCCATATCAATGCATGGAATGTGGGAAGAGCTTCAACAGGAAACATCACCTTGTTCTACATGCAAGAATGCACAGAGCAGACAGGCCGTATACATCCGTGGAATGTAGAAAAAGCTTCAGTTTCCGGTGGAAATCTTACTCAGCCTCAAAGAAGCCACACTGGGGAGAGGCCCTTCAAATGCATGGAATGCGGAAAAAGCTTCAGTCAAGGTATAAATCTTACCATCAAAGAACCCACACTGGGGAGAGGCCATTCCAATGCATGGAATGTGGAAGACCTTCCATCAACTTGCAGGTCTTATTTACCATCAAAGGTTTTACTTACCATTTCTGGGGAAAACCATATAAATGCATGGAATGTGATAAGAGCTTCTCTTGCCATGGAAGCATTACTAAGCATCAAAGATCCCACATTGGGTTGTCAAGTTGAACTGCAGGAAGATGGGCTTCAGAAGCAGGTTCTGTCCCATTTCTCCACTGAACTACACTGAATTCAGCAAACCACTGATTCAGCACGGAAGCACAAGGCAGGCGTCTGGAAATCCGACAACGTGGGAAATGTGCAGGATGTAGCAAAAAGCCCAACAAGTCCAAGATTCCCTTTGCAGAGTTTGGCACCTCAGGCAAATTTTCCACTTTTGCGCCCCGGTGTCCCTACTGTACATTTAGAAACTTGACTTTCTCCAAGAGACTTTATGATTAATCTTTAATTATGTGACTCTTTATCACTATTTCACCCCACCTTGATCACTTCACGACTTGGACACAAACAAGCCTGGTCTCTCAATCGGAGCCTCTTAGTTATTCCGCAGTTTCGCATCCAGGTTTTCCTGCACCATTCCTCCGAAGGTTGTTCACTTCCGGTGTGTAGCGACATTGAGAGAGACTGCAGCATTTCTGAACGATTCTGCTCTTCTGGATGTCCAGAAGGCCAGCCTCCGTTTCTTCCTTTCCTATGTGTCCCTTCCAGATTGCTGAAGGGCTTTCCAGGCTGAAAATAGAGGTGCTTCTCATACTGGAAGAGGAGCGAGTTAATGGTGAGACTGGAATTTCCTGGACATGCAATTGTGTTGCCTTGGAGGTTATGGAAGCAGAGTTGAGATCTATGTAGGCTGCAGGATGAGGCCCGTTCGGGTCTCTCTGTATTGCATTTTCAGCCCCCCTGCAGATTCAGCCTTCTGGAATTCCCGGATGCAGGGCCCACATCTTGAGCTTGTGCTCCCGCTTCCCGCTTCCCCAAGCTTTGATGGTTTCCCAGCTTTTCCCATTTCCAAAGGGAACTGTGTAACTGGCAAGAAGAGGCTTCGGGTGCCTCTTGTGTTCATTTTGAGCATTTGGGCTCCCTCTGACCTGTTGCATCTTGCCTGCTGCTTTCGCTTTCGTGTTCCCCTGCCACCTGGAGGTGGCTTCTCGGCGCTCATCCGTGTCGGAAAGAGCTACGATCAGCCTCTAATCCTTGCTGCCTGCACCGATCCTGGAAAAGGGCTGTGAAAGTGTGGATCTGGTACACTGTTCAAATCAAAGCACGGGGACATGCAGAGCAGAGGTGGGTAAACGAGGAAACGCCAGGCAGGTATCTATGAACACGTCACATGGGTTTTGTCAAACCTATTATCACTCTGTTCTGGCATTTTCCTCATATGTGGAGCAGACCTTCCATCTTGCTCCTCCTGTAAATTGAGCAAATTCAGTTTTTTTGCAGAGAATTCTGGCGTTTGTGTATATTTTAATTCTGTTCATATTGTTGACATTAATATTGTCTGTCTATGGACTGGAGAAAGAGCTTCAGCAAACTCCTGTTCCTCCACATGCTGATTCCTATTTTGAACCCTGAAACATGATTTTCTACAAATAAAAATGGATTTCTCAGAATAAAACCAAAATTCAATCACAACTTATTCAATTAACAATGAAAAGGAAAGGATGAATCAGAAAATTAGCTAGGTGGAACTGTCTTGGCCACACAAACCCGCCGGGGAGGCCAAACTGAAGAGGGTGAACTTCAAACGCTGGGTTGTCCATCTGGGGCACTAGGAAGAAAGCTCATTTGGGCTATTTCAATTTTGAAGCAGAAGGGCTGACACTGAGCCAGAGAGGGCAATCTTTGGAAGCAGTCCCTAATGGTTAAAGAAGTCGGCTGCTTCTGCCCACCATTTTTGTTAGCTAAGCAGGAGGCTTCCAGCGGGACTGGCCCAAATGGGCCAAGAGCAGGACAGAGGCGAAAGCAGAATCGGAGGCTCTTGGGAGGGGAGGGGAGGCGAGCCTCCTTGGCCAGTGGCTGGCTGGCTGAGTCTTTGTGCAGGGGGAACTCCTGGAGCAGCTGGGCCGCCGTCCTGGGATCTTCTGCCAGGAGCTGTGCTGAGGTCTTGACCGGTTTCTGCAGTGCTCTTCGGGCAACGGGGATTTCAGGAGCAGCCGAAGCAGAACAAGAAAGTGCTTTTCTCGGCAGGAACACACGGAGGTGGGAGGGTGTGGGAAAGCAGAGATAAAGGCATTGCAGGCTTAGAGAAAGGGGGGTGCAGAATTCACCCCCGAAGTGCCCTGTGCTGGGCCAGCCATCGGTCCTGTCCCACCAGGTGGCTGGAATAGAGCACAAGGCATGGGGCTTCGCCGTGGGGCGTTGGCACTGGATCTGTCTGGCTGCCCTGAGCAAGAGACCTCAGCAGGGAGGGCGAGCGTGGACTACCCCCACCAGCATGCCCTGCAGGGGAGGAGCTGGAAGCAGAGCATTCTGGGAGAAGAATCCCGCACCTTGAGGGACCCATTGGGTCTGGGGGAAGGTGCCAGGAGGGGAAATTCAGGCTGACCTAGGGTTTGGGGGAGCAGCGCCACCTCCTCGAGATGAAGCTTGTGCAGGGGGAGGGGGGAAGAGGCAGGTGGCCATTCCTGGAAGGAGAATTGGGCTGTGGGACCCCTTGACCTGGCAGGAGAGCGAGAGTCAGTGGGGAGGGAGAGACAGGAAGGGCAGGAGGAGGAAGGGAAGGGTGGTAGAAATTTCTGGGGAGAAAAACAGTTCAAGAAAAGCGGAAGGAGTACCACAACTATCCTCTCAGGAGTCAAAGGGGATGCAGGACCCGGTGCCTAATTCCTTGGTGCAGAATGTGTCCAAGGCCTCTCAGCGTTTCCATTCCAGGATCCCCCTCTTGGGAGTCCCCCCAGTGATGAATGCGGAGCAGCTGGTGTTATTTTATCCTCACAACAACAACCCTGTGAGGTAGGCTAGGCCAAGAGGGAGCGACCGGCCCACGTCACCCAGGAGCTTCACAAACAGGTGGGGCCTGGAACCCAGATCTCCCAGGACCTCGGTCCAGTGCCGTGACCACCCTGCCCCTCCGGGTGTCAGCTGAGCGTTCCCGCTGGTCTCCATGGGGCTGGGGAATAAAATAGGTCCGGATAACATCACCGGGAAGCGGGTGGCCGCTTCCTGCTGGCCAAGGGGTGGGTGGGGCAGGGAGCAGCTGCGGATGCCGCCATGGCCAAAGGCGCTTCTTCCTTCTGCACCATTCTTTGGGAACATTTGACTGGACCCCTGCGCATGAGCTGAAGCGGGGAAAGCCCTCTGGTGGGTATCACTCGGCTTGCAGGCTGCGAGTGGAAGGCGGTGTCTTTCCTTCTCTCTCAGTGCCAGCCTCGCTCATGCCCTTCCTCAGCCCTCAACCTGCCGTCCCTTCTGACAACCCTGGAAGTCCGATGGGTGTGAGAGCTCGTCGAGGCGTGCAGCCCGGGATGTAAACAATCCACACATTCTAGAGCAATAAAACTAAAGTCCTTTAATGCTAATTGTCTACAAGATTTACAACTCTATAGATAAGTTCCCTAATAGCGGACCTTGCTAAACAGATGTTAACTCTCTAATGGCGTCTCTTCCCAAGCCCACGTGGGATCATTCTCCCAAGTCACGCCTTTCCTCCCTCTTACGGAATAAATTTTGCCGCTGTTCATACCTGCGTAAAATACATCTGTTCTGGGCCCTTGAAAATTCCACGACACCCGTTGTGTCTTCTGTTTCTGGCTCAGGGAGATCAGCATCAGTGGGGGAAGAGGCAGTTTGCTCTGCCTCCTTCTGAGTAGAACTTGCAGCTCCCTCTTTCTCGTGACTCCCTGTCTCTGCTAAAGGTCCAGGCGTTCACTCAATGTGCTGCGGGTCAGAGGAAGACGCAGCAGCTGGCTCAGCCGTCCCTGCGTTGGGTTGCGGGGTCGACTCTTGGGCACTGGGTGTCAAGTGCAAGGTCTCCTCGCGAGTCACTGTTTCTGTCAGGGCTTCATGCACGACAGAGCCTGCCTGTGTTTAGTTACTGTTTATTTATTTAAAGCTTTTCCATCCTATCCTTCACTAAAGTCTCAGGGTGGTAATTCAGTAGAAGCACAGCTTCAGACATCAATTAACAACATGTAAAACCCATCTTTAAAACAACACCAACATTTAAAATGTTGTAGAAAATAAAAAGGTGTTGGACTGGTGCCGAAACGAATAAAGTGTCAGTGCCAGATGCACCTCTCTGGGGAGCATTTTCCGTAATGGGTGCCACCACAGAGGAGGCCCTTCTCCTGATCTCCTTCAAAGAGGGCTCCCAAAGAAGGACCTCCAATCCAGATCTTAGCGGGTGGGCAGGTATGTATGGAAGGAGACACTCTGTTGGGCTTCACCCGTTGGGATCCCGTCTCTGAGCTTCCCCTGCTGAAGAGCTCCACGGGTGTCCTTCGGCCAAGTCCGGAAGAGCACAGACCTCAGATGCCGACAGCCATGACATGTAGGGAAATGGGTCTCTCCCCTTTTGCAGAAGAGGGCAGAATGTGTTCCCATGGGGAAAACTTAAGGAGCTCGGCTTCAGCTTGGATGTAAGGAAGTCTTTCCCGACAGGATATGGAATGGGCTTCCTAAGGAGGTCGTGGAGGCCCCATCAGTGAGGGTGTTCAAGGAAAGATTGGACAACCACGTGTTGGGGATGGCATGAGCGGAGCTGGCTGGAGGCAGGGGTCAGGCTAGATGGCCTCGGATGCCCCTTCTGACTCACTTTGTTTCTGTGTTTCTGTCCTTTTAGCACTTTGGCAGGCCAGCTGGGGGCTCAGTAGGGAAGGTGGACAAAGAGCCGACATTGGATTTCACGTACTGATGTAATGAGCAGGGGCTTGATTGTTAATGAGTGTGCGCTTAAAAGTTAGGCCATGTTTATCAGACTGGCATGGGCTTCACTTGCTCCCATCAGCTGCCGCATGACCTTGCTTATTAACCCAAGAACGACCCTGCCGATCAATTGATTGACTGCTAGGTATCTTTTATTAGAGTAGCATATGCTGGCTTATGGTGAGGAGGAGTATTCTACCAAACGAGTGGAGCTGGGCAGGATGATATGCTTGTGATCCACATAACATCAAAGCTCCCACCTATATCAGGTAAGCTTTTGCTGCAAGGAACAGGGTATAAAACGAGCACTTGGCCCAACCCATCTTTGCTAGGATTTTGTGGACCAGCAAAGTTCAGTGTTCATCCATTCCAGCCAACGGGAGCCTCTGCCTGATCGTAGCCGCCACTGAGCGCATTATAAAGTACTCGGAAGATCAATGCTTGTAATCAGACTCTGGCCTGGCATATTGTTTCTTTGGGATTCCTAGAAGATTTGCACCAGGTGGATACTCTCTAGTTTGTTTCCTGGCATCTCTAGGTGGGGCTTTAAAGATGGTTGTTGGGGTCTAAGACACTTATGCCTCTTCTCTACAGGCAGCTGCTCCAGGGCAGCTGGCCATGGATTGCATCTTTTCTTCTTTGCCATGGTCCTTGTTGTTCTTGCTTTGTTTGCACGCACACACACTTTTTATGCCGCATAAATTACGGGTACCCACGATCTCTCCTGTGCGTTGATCTAAGCTTTTGTGTTTTCTTTCCCTTTGACGATGTTTCACTGCTTTGCTCTGCAGAGTTGATCTGCATCTCTCCGTATGTGATATCTTTATGGAATACTGTAGAAACCAAGGATACAGCAGGGCGTAAAAAGAGAAAAAGGGAGAATACTGAAGATGTTGGAATGAGAGGTGCCAAATTTGGCTTGAGTTCAACTGAGTTCATTCGTTTCAGCCTTTCACACATAACAAGATTTTCATTTTTTTTCTTTCTTCACAATCAGGTGACTGGCAAGACTCTAGAAGTTATATTGATCCCCGTGTCATGTCATCAGGAAGAAGTCAGCATGAAGTGTGAAAGGAGATTCTTGACTATGAAAAGGGATAAAGAAAGATGATGAAAACCATACAAAAGAGAGGCATAATCCTGTAATTCTTGGGGTTTTGGAGACCTCAACACTAAATTCAGCAGTTCACAAAAGAAAGAAAAAGAGAAGGAAATGGGAAAGAAATGCAACATTCAGAATCTACAAGAACTGAGTGAATGGACAGAATCTTAAGAGAGCATCCAGGCAGACATGATGAATCCTTGACGTAAAGAATCCATGCTGAGGAGAAACCAGATGAAGATGTATGATGTGAAAGAAGCCTCTGAGAAAAAAGTCTGAGTGAGTATCAAGGATCCAACCATTGGGACCCCAGATAAGATCATGGAAGTTGGACAGAGCTTCAGTGAAAGTCGCCGTCTTCCTAAAGATGAAACCGTCCACACTGGAGAGCAGCCATATACATGCATGGGAAGTGGAAAAGGCTTCGGTATATGTGCAGACCTTGAAAGACAGGAGGGAACACATGTGGAAGAGAAGCCATTTAAATGCATGGAATGTGGGAAAAGCTTTACGAAGAAAGTTAAACTTATTATACATGCAAGAACCCACACTGGGAACAGGCCTTATAAATGCATGGAATGTGGGAAAAGCTTTAAACATAATTCTGACCTTATAGTACATACAAGAACTCACACTGGGGAGAGGCCATATAGATGCATGGAATATGGGAAGAGCTTCAGTGGCACTGGAGGTCTTACTAGACATCAAAGAACCCACACTGGGGAGAGGCCTTTTGAATGCATGGAATGTGGGAAGAGCTTCAAACAGAAATATCATCTTATTGTACATGCAAGAACCCACACTGAGGAGAGGCCCTTTAAATGCATAGACTGTGGGAAGTGCTTTAAACGGAAAGCTCATCTTATTACGCATGCAAGAACCCACACTGGAGCCAGGCCATATAAATGCATGGAATGTGGGAAGAGCTTCAGTGAGAGTGGAACCCTTGCTAGACATCAAAGGCTACATACTGGAGAGAGGCCCTATAAATGCATAGAATGTGGGAAGAGCTTCATTGAAACTAGAAGTCTTAGTAGACATCAAAGAACCCACACTGGGGAGAGGCCCTATGAATGCATGGAATGTGGCAATAGGTTCAAAGAGAAATCTGATCTGACTGCACATAAACGAACGCACACTGAAGAGAAGCCATTTCAATGCATGGAGTGTGGAAAGTGCTTTAAAAGGAATGCTCATCTTATTACACATGGAAGAACGCACACTGGGGAGAGGCCATATAAATGCATGGAATGCGGAAAGAGCTTCAGTGAGAGTGGAACTCTAGCTAGACATCAAAGGTTGCATACTGGGGAGAGGCCCCATAAATGCATAGAATGTGGGAAGAGCTTCATTGAGACAAGCAGTCTTGCTAGACATCAAAGAACCCACTTCGGGGACTTGCCCTACGAATGCATGGAATGTCAAAACAGGTTCGAAAAGAAGTCTGATCTTACCATACATGAACAAAGACAAGCTGAGGAGAAGCCCTATAAATGCATGGAATGTGGGAAGTGCTTTAAAGGGAATGCTCATTTAATGATACGTGCAAGAACCAGCACTGGGGAGAAGCCATATAAATGCATAGAGTGTGGGAGGAGCTTTAAACGGAAGGCTCATCTTATTATACATACAAGAACCCACTCTGGTGACAGGCCATATAAATGCATGGAATGTGGAAAAAGCTTCAGTCAGAGTGGAAGTCTCACTCAGCATCAAAGAACCCACACGGGGGAGAGACCATATCAATGCATGGAATGTGGGAAGAGCTTCAGTCAGAGTGGAAGTCTCACACAGCATCAAAGAACCCACACTGGAGAGAGGCCGTATCAATGCATAGAATGTGGCAAGAGTTTCAGACAGAAATCTTATCTTATTGTACATGCAAAAACCCACATTGATGAAAAGCTCTATATATGCATGGAATGTGGGAAGAGCTTTAAACGAAAACATCATCTTACTATACATGCAAGAATGCACACTGGAGATGGGCCATATATGCATGGAATGTGGAAAAAGCTTCAGTTTCCCTGGAAGTCTTCTTAACCATCAGAGAAACCACACTGGGAAAAGGCCATTCAAATCCATGGAATATGGAAAGAGCTTCAGTCAGAGTGGAAGTCTCACTCAACATCAAAGAACCCACATTGAGGAGAAGCCATATAGGTGCATGGATTGTGGAAAGAACTTACGTCAGTATCTTACCAAGCATGGAAAAAAACACTAGTCTTTCAAATGAATGGAACATGGAAAGAGCTTCAGACTTAATCAATGTTGTGCTAACCATCGTGGAACCCTCATTCAAGAAAAGCCATTTGAATGCATAGAATGTGGCAGGAGTTTCAGAGATGGGAGAACCTAAGTCAATACCAAAGCACTCATATGGAGTAAGAATGGCTTAAATTCAGAGAGAGCACTTCAGCAATACTGGGCACATATTCTCCTCCACACGAAAGGGCTCACAAAGGAAGAAAACCTGGGATCCTTAGATTTTTGCAGAGTTTCAACTATGCTGGAGCATGTCCTGCCCTCATTGGTGATGCGACGAGCTCTGGGGTCAATAGACAGAAAAATCATCAGGTGAATGCAAAATTGGCTGCTAAATCGAAGACCCGGAGTGCTCATCAAGGGCACCTTCTCATCCTGCAGGAAGCGGCAAGTGGGGTGCCACAGGGTTCAGTCCTTGGTCCAGTGCTCCTCAACATCTTCATTAATTATTTGATGAGGGAGTCCAAGGATTGATAATCTGATTTGAGGATGATACAAAGCTGGGCGGAATAGCGAACACCCTGGAAGACTGAGGGAAGATCCAAGGCAATCTTGATAAACTTTAATGCCAGGCTGAAAGCAACAGAAGGAAATTCAATAGGGATCCATTCCAGGTGCTTCAGCTAGGAAAGAGAAACCAAGTGCATCAATACAAGATGGGGAATATGTGGCACAACACAACTGAAAAAGAAAGACCTTGGGGTAATTGTGGACAACAGGCTGAATATGAGCCAACAAGGTGATGCAGCTGCCAAAACGGCAAATGCTATTTTGGGATGCATTAACAGAACTATTACTTCCAGATTGCAAGAAGTCATAGTTCCCCGTACTCTTTTTTAATTAAATTTTATTAATTGATCAAACATAATGCAATTAATATAATAGTAATAAACTGAATTAAGCATTACTAATAGACTGAATTAAACAATACAATAATAACAGTGCTACCTCCACCAGGAACAACACATCATGTAAGATCATTTATTTATTCAGGTTGCCCCACTCAGTTCCCTTCCAGAACTTCATTGACTCTTGTGATGGTTCACACCCCTTTTCTTTGATTAAGACATATTCCATAAATGGTCTCCAAATATTTTCAGAATTGTTTTTACTTATCAAACCTTTTTTCCATTTAATATCACAAGTTAATTTATCATTAATTGCTATATTCTAAACTTCTTTATAGCAATCGTGTATTTTATAATCATCTTTTATTTTCCAGTTCCTTGCTATTAATCTTATTGCTGTTAATAAATTTGTCATCAGTTCTTTAATATGTTGTCCCATCTGTTCTCTAATGACAATAATGGTAGTCCAGGGTCTGATTCAATGTTTAAATTCAATATTTTACTAATTTCTTTGAAAACCACTTCCCAAAACTCATTTATATATTTACACTTCCACTACATATGGAGATATGTACCCATTTCCCAGCTGCATCTCCAACATACATTGAAAAATTAACTATTCTAACTGGAGTTATGTACCATTTGCAAACTAATTTATAAAAATTCTCTTTAATTCTTATTGACATAATTTTTAAAATTCTCTTGTCCCAAATATCATTCCATCCTTCAGTACTAATATTTCTTTTTAAATCTATTTCCCAAGACTCTTTCAGAGGACCATATCGGTCTTCCCCTTCTAATAATTTGTTGTAAATTTTACTTGTCATTCCTCTCATCCACATATCTTGTTTTTCTTTCTGTAAAATTTTATCTTCAGATCTCTACATTTGCCATTTTTCTTCAACCAATGATCTAATTGAAGTATATTATACCAAATTACTTTATCCTGTCCCAGTGTTGCTTGTATGATTTCTTTACACTTCATTTCCTCTAACCAATCTTCCAACCTGATAGCATGTTTGATCTTCCATACTTCCCTCAAACTACTCCTCAAATTCTCCAGGAATCTTTCAAATTCCATAATTGGATATAATGGTGAAATCAATGGGATAAATATGTCCCTATATTTATTCCAAATTCTGACCAGATTCTTAAAAAAGGGATTTCCTATCTTTTTAACAATGTCTTTATTATCTTGTTGAAGAAAGATATTTAATAAGGATCCCTCTACAACTTGGTATTATAATTTACCCCATATTATCTTATCTGGCTGTAGTATAATATCTGGTATGTGCCTCATTTGATTTGCTATATAATAAAGTTCCACACTGGGAATACCCAAACCTCCTGTTTCTGGGGCATATACCATCTCTTTTTAATCCTTGCTTTTTCATCCCCATTACAAAATTTATTAATGCTTTGCCATTCTTTCATATCTATCTCTGTAAATTGGCAATATCATAAACAAGAAATTCATAGGTAAAATCTTCATTTTAAATGTCGCTATTCTACCAAACCATGATAAATCATTCTTTCTAAATTCATGTATTTTCTCTTTTATTTCATATTTTAACTTGTCAAAATTATTCCTTCAGCATTGCAATTCTTGTAATATTTACACCTAACTACACAATAATTTTACATATCTTAACTTGTAAGTTGCCCTTAATCTCATCCTTTTCTACTTTATTACAATTAAATAGCATCATCTCTGATTTGTCCCAGTTTACTTGTAAACCCATTATTTTTCCAAATTCTATTAAATGTGTTCTAATCTGATCCATAACCTTAACTGGATCTTTTATTAATAATATATCATCAACAAATAAGCTGATCTTAATTTTATTCTCAAATCCTATAATGTTTATTAAATTATGATTTCTAATACTATTTGCTATAGTAGTTCCATGATTAAAGCAAATGTTCTCAGAGAGAGGGCAATCCTTTCTAGTACCTTGGCCCACTAGTCAGACCTCAGCTGGAATACTGTGTCCAGTTTGGAGCACCAAGATTTAAGAAAGATGCAGAAAAATTAGAAAGGGTCTGGAGGAGGGCAACACAAATGATCCGGGGTTTGGAAACCCTGCCCTGTGAGGAGAGACTGAGAGAACTGGGCATGTTCAGCCTTGGGAAGAGAAGACTGAGGGGGGACAGGATTTCCCTCTAGAAGTACCTCAAAGGCTGTCACAAGGAGGAAGGTCAAGATCTCTTCTGGTGAATACCAGAGTGCAGGAGATGGAAGAATGAACTCAAGTGGCAACTATCCAGGTTCAGGCTGGACATCAGGAAAAGCTTCCTCACTGCCAGAGCAATAGGGCAGTGGAACCAGCTGCCCGGAGAGGTGGGGGGCTCTCCCACAGTGGAGACATTCAGAAAGAAACTGGGCGGCCATCTGAGTGGGATGGTGTGACTTGGTGTCCTGCAACAGCTGGGGGTTGGCCCTGATGGCCTTCATGGCCCCTTCCAACTCTATTATTCTATGATCGTAGGTTTTCAAAAGCAGGACAGGCTGCTATCCAAAGTGAACCACAGGGAGATCCGGAGAAGAGCTGATTTAATAGGGAAGCTCAAGGCAGGAGTCTGGAAACTCGACAACCTAGGAACTGTGCAGGATTTGGCAAAAAGCCCACTGAGTCCAGCATTTCCTTTCTAGAGTCAGGCAGATCAGCCAAATTTTCAATTTTTGCACCCTGGTGTCCCTATACAAATTAGGAACTTGGCTTCCTGCTAGAGAATCTTGGATTAATCTTTAAACCTCTGACTCTATTTCACTATTTCATTTCATCCTGATCACCTGACACAGCCTGGTCTCCTGATTGTATTGTCACTTATCATTTCGTTGAAGCCTATAATAGGGGAGAGTTTGTTGTGCTTATTACCAATGCAAAAGATAAATGTTAAGGATGCAGGCAAGATCATGGAAATAAGAAAGCTGACAGAAAGGAATTCCAGAGTTAAGACTTCACAACTGCAGGAACTCGTGATGGCACAGAACAGAACCTCTGGCTGCTTGATCAAGATGTAACCTGGATGTTTCTCTGAAGGTTGAATTCTTCTGGTCAGGAGTTGGCTTTGCATGGTCTGATATTTACATAGGACCCCCGTGGGTTAGGGGTCTTTTTGCTGTAGCCCCAGCAAGTACCACATTCTTTTTCTGCACATGATATTATTTCGCATTTACGCTGCTTTGCAAGCGATTCTCATGTCAAGACTTGCCCTGCTTCTGTTTACTTTGGGTTAAGAAGTTGTCGTGAGCACCCCTGCTTGCGTGTTAGAATGTGTTTTCCATTGTGAACAGCTTTTAAACACCCTCAAGTCAGTTCTAGGAACAGTCACTCGCCCACAGGGGCAAAGTCAAGCTGAGTGGGAGGTGACAGGGATATTGTTCAAGGATAGGCTGGACGTGCACACGGTGAGCAAGTCATGAGCAGAGCCGGCTGGAGCCGGGGGTCAGACTAGATGGCCCAGGAGGACCCTTCTGACTCGCTCTGGTTCTGTTTCCCCGATGGCCGCAGGAGTCGAGGTAAGCCATAAGCAGAGCCATTCGGGGTCAGACCAAGCGCCCATCCAGTTTTGGCAGGATGGGGACAAGACCACCCCCCCATGCCAAAGCGCCGCAGCCCCTGCTCGTGGGGGCAGCGCCTAGCCGGCAGGGCCAGCGGCCGGAGTGGGTCGCCTCCTGCGCCACGGAAGCGGCCAATCCCCTTGAGAGCCGCCAAAGTGCCGGCCCCCCCGCTTCCTTTTCCCTGTCCTGGATCTTCCGCCAAGCGGCTTCACACCCTCCTTCCCCGTGAGATGCCCCCCCTCCCTCCCCCCTCCCTCCAAGGCCCGGGGGCGAAACGGGGGGGTGCAGCGTGCGCGCTCTTTGGGTTCCACGGAAAGGCGCTCGCCATCTCCGACTGGAGCAGGTTTCCGGGGGCCGCGCAAACGTGAGCGCGGATCCCCAGTTTTGCACGCCGTGCGCAGCGGGGCGCCCAGTCCGGGAGTTCTGGGGGAGAGAAGCGCTTCAATCGCGGTTTGGGGGGTCCTCCTCCCGTTCCACCCCGGTGCAAATCTGGCGGATCCAGCGGAGATTGCGGGATCGCTTCTTCCTTTCTTCCCCAGGGCGGCGCTTCTAAAGTGCGCGGGTTGGAGAGGGGCCGGCCTTGGAGGAGCCGCGCGGGTTTCCCTTCAGCTGGGCGAGGCGAGGGGTTGTGGTGAGGATCGGGAAGGCGCTTCTTTGCCTTCCAAGCCGGGGGGGGGGGGGGGGGGGGGGCGCAGGGACCTGCTGCTGCCGGTCCGAATTCCAGAAATCCCCCTGGGAATTCGCCTGGATCCGCTGCTTTGATGGTAAGCACGCTAAAAGTCCCGGCTGGCTCTCGGAGGCCTGGCGGCTAAGGATTTTGGTTTCCTTCTCTTACGGGGCCAGCCTGGCCACCCTCTGCGGCACCATTCAAAATTCACCCCCTTTCCTTCACAACAGCCCTGTGAGGTGGACCGGTATGAAATGCTGCCTGGTGTGGCCAGGTGGGCCAGGCCCTGACTCCAAGTGGGGCAGCTTCCTGGCTTCCTCCCTCCCCGGACCAGCCCACCTCACTGAGCGGTTGTGAAGGTCCAGCAGGGGGGTGTCAGTGTGTGTCGCTCTGGACTCCTTCCAGGAGGAGGACCTGGTGGCCACGGCCTTCGGGGTCTGCAAGGTGCCCCGCTTGCCGCCTTTCTTGCCCTCACAGGCAGCTGAAGTGGCACCCACGATCCGGCCCGCTCCTCTTGGTGCCGGCGTGGAAAGAGCTGCTGTGCAGCCGGATCAGGCCATGGAGGTTCGGGGACAGGCCTTGGGGATGGAGCTCCGGCTGGGTGGGGGGAAGCAGGAGGTCTGAAAGAACACCCCCCTCCCCCTTTTCTTGTGCTGCTA